CTCTCTCTCTCTCTCTCTCTCTCTCTCTCTCTCTCTCTCTCTCTCTCTCTCTCTCTCTCTCTCCTTTTGTCTCTGTCCCTTTTTCCTTTTTTTCTTTCATCTCTCTCTCTCACTTTTTCTTTCTTTTTTCTTTTTTTCTTTATTTCTTTCTTCCTTTCTTTCTCTTTCTCTCTCTCTCTCTCTCTCTCTCTCTCTCTCTCTCTCTCTCTCTCTCTCCTTTTGTCTCTGTCCCTTTTTCCTTTTTTTCTTTCATCTCTCTCTCTCACTTTTTCTTTCTTTTTTCTTTCTTTCTTCCTTCCTTCCTTTCTTTCTCTTTCTCTGTCTGTGTGAGTCTGTGTATGTGTGTGTGTGTGTGTCAGTGGTGGGTTTCAAAAAATTTTGGAACCTCTTCTGTAGGTGTGGCCTGCTTTCTGGTGGAACCTCTTCTAACCGGTTCGGTAGATTTGATGAACCGGTTCTACCGAACTGATGCGAACTGGTAGGAACCCACCTCTGATCCTAACTGTAACTCTACACCCATCCCAGTACAAAGCACTGCATGTCACTTCTGAAATTTTGCTAATCAGAATTCTGCCAAACACTTTCACAGGCAGATTTAACAAACTATTCCCCCAATAGTCTTTGCATTCAACCTTGGTATTTTTCTTTTCCCTTTGTGTAGGAAAATAATAACAGCATTCTTCCAAACTTTAGCAGCTTTCATACACACATTAAACAAATACGTCTCCATAACCTGCTCTAATTTTTCTCTAAATGAATCATCTACATTATTTTCTAACATTAATCATCTCTTTTTATCCTTTTTTCCTGGACACTAACATTTATAACTTTCATTTTAATGCCTCTCTCTGATTACTCCTTGCTTACCAACTGCCTCATTTAGTAACCATTCAAATCTACACAGTGTAAAAAAAAGGTTTTGCAACCAATCATTACATTTACAAACATTCAGGCACTTTGCAATTAGTACACATTTATGACCACTGCAGTATCTCACACTCATATGATCATTCATATATGCCTGCTTCCCAACTAGCTTGTGACAAGCAGAGTTAAGCAGATGGACTTACATAAGTCACAATCATGTCATGTCTCCGTTATGACTTCAATGGCTCATTTAACAACTAAATGAGAGGTGAAGTTATAAGCCTGTCATGGTTATGTGATTTTCTGGTTAATCACCATGGCACTGTTGCTGGTCTCAACAGTGGTTGCTTAGCAAGGTCTACTTGCATCACCATAATTTCCACACAAATCTCTAACCTGCTCTTAACATTCCCTCCCTCACACAAAACTCTAAAATACTCTTTACATTCTCTCATCCCAATTTCATAGCTCTTATTTGCACTTCCATTCACCCCGCGGGAGGCTCCTTATTTAGCTCACTTTGTCAATTGCAGTAAAATTTATTTCTCCAATAAATAAGTAATTTCTCTCTACTTCATTTAATCTAAGTCAGAAGTGTCGTCACGTGACATATCACAACTTTTCCCCCCTTCACTAAGCATGTGCTTGGCACATGCTTGGACAGCATGTGACGCACCTGGCCTGCAGGCTGCAAGTTTGACAGCTCTGATCTTAGTTGCTTCTTGCTGTCTGGCTAATATCCTTCTTGCACTTATTCTCTAATACAGTTTTTTCTCAGCCTGTGTCCCTTTTGCTTTTTATTTCCATCAAGCATTCTTTTCATATTTCCAATTATGTTTAAAACAGCTTTCATGTCTTCTTTCCTGAAATCCCCTTTGCATTCCATTTTGGAGATTAATCGTTTTGCAAGTAGGATTTATAACTTTTCTTCACTCCAGTTTCTTTCATTTCCTTCCATGCTCATTTCCCTTCAAGATCCACTTTCGATGCTACTAAAAATGCCTTGTCCCACATTCAGAAGCTTTCATCTCTCTTGCATTGTTCACTAATCCCTTCAGCCTTTCATCATAAGCATCCCACCAAGTCAGAAGAGCATGCAATGTTCTGACACACATTCAGGAATACTAAAATAATGGATTATATGCCTGAAGCATTTTGCTTAAACAGAAATGAAGCAATTTAGAATCTCTCTCTCTCCTTTGCCAAGAGCAATTTCTATTCCATGCAGAGTCTTATTTGAGAAATAATATATGAATATATGTAAAAGATGAGCCACATGGCTATCATTGGGAATTTTTTCTGATGCATAAATGGGAGGGAAATAATGCTGAATTATTCAGCATATATTATAGCTTTAATCAGTTCTTAACTGGCCATGTGAACTTTTTCTTCTTCATTGAAAAAAGGAATTTGACTATCTGGCACATTTTTTTGCACACCATCAGTTATTTCATTATTTATCCAATCTTTCTTGCAATTTGGTTACAATATTTTTTATTTTGAAAAATAATTAAAATAACCATTTTTATTAAAATGCAATGACTGCTAATAATATCTAAGCTTACTTAGCAAAGTCGTGTTTCATATTTCATTGTTTCATTACAGGGTTTTAAGATGATAATAAAAAAGGTTTGCCCAGAGAGTGCTGCTCATCTTTGTTTCTTAGTCAAGGGAGCCAGCAAAGATGCTTCTGTGGTCATGCGACCAGCATGACTACATGCCAAGGTACACAGAATGCTACTACCTGGTACCTATTTATCTACTTGCAGTTGATTGTTTTCAAACTGTTTCTTTGTCAAGAGTTCGATTGTCCCCATGTTTGTTACTATTCCTGTACATATACCATTCCTGCAGCTATCCTGTGTAATAGCTATAAGAGTTATTAATTTTTAACATACATTTATCAGTAGGCTAGAAATTATTTATTGCCACTTTCTAGGAAAAATGGCTATCTGATATGTAATTTTGAGATGAGACTCATCTCTTCCAACTTACCCCTCCCACAATCCATGCTTTTGCAAGAGCTGCCCGAGCTTCATCCAGCTTAGCATCCAATAAAATCTTGCCATTTACAGCCATTATTTCATCTCCTTTCACAATACCTCCTGATTAAGCAAATAAAGGGCAAAGGAACAAGCAAATCTGTATTATCTTTCTTTAACTGAAATTGAAAATGAGAATCCGAATGGCAAGATCTGGATCATACCATGCAAGATTTTTATATACTGTATATATATATTACATTCAAACCTTCCTCCAAATAAGATTATATTTATCATATCTGAGAGGTAGGATAGGATGAGAGATTGGCCCCTAATCTTCCAATGAACATCATGGCTGGTTAGGGATTTCAACCTCAATCTCTACCATCACTGTCTGATACTTTAATCACTAAAACACTTTTAAGAATGAATGTAATAATAAAAATAGAGATAACTAGTGTCTATGTGCAAAGTAACATTTATTACTTCTAACCCTCCTATATATCTGTTTTGTTCTTCTTTGATTTTTTCTTCTTCCACAAAAAAGAAGATAAAATAGCTGTATAAGGCATTTTGTTTAGCTGCACAAAAAGTGCTTTTCTGTAAAGTCATTTTTTTTCTATAAGAACCATCTAAAATTGAATTATAACAATGTTAAATTATGACACATGACACTGTCCTTATTTAATTATGCCATTTATCATATGTGGTTCTTATTTATCTTCATTCTGAGATAACAATGAACATTAAAATATATTAGTGTTTCAATCTCATTTATTTTACCAGACACCACAATAGCAATATTTTTAAAGGTATTTAGAGAACAGATGAAGGCAAGGGTAACTGGTGTTATGTTCTAAAATGGCACATTTTATTTTGTAAAAACTTTTATATTGGTGCCTATCTTAAATACATATATACATTATTGAGACATCTAAATTTTGTTAAACATTTTGATATTTGAGCAGTTAGAATAATACATGACAGGAAGAATTAATCATTTCTCAATGCACCAACAAATTAGAACATGCAACTTTGTTCTCACCGTAATTTTTCCCGAGCATTCAGAAAATTGAAGAGAACTGTAAATACTTTGTCTTAATTTAAGTGTAAATATTTTAGAAATAAATTTCCAATCTGAGGATATAATTTGAGGATATGCCAGTCTGAGAATATAATTTGCACTTCTGGAAAATGCCTACTTAAAGTTAACTTTATTTTACAAGGGTTCAGATGCTTTATATTCCAGTTTTTTCTAAGCAAATACCCACCATGCTTGTCTGCAGCACCACCCTCATAAATAGCAGACACCACTACTTTTCCAACTGGGGAATCAATGCCACCTTCTACTGCAAGGTCTAATGATCCTTCCTATTAAAGAGTTTGAAAAAAAATGAATATACAGTATTTATGTTTCTTGAATTAAACATTATGTACTTTCTTAGTTAATTTTCTGATATGGAATTAAAGGTTTATAGGTAAAGGGAGAACTGATTTACCATAGTTCTACTGGTAGATAGACCAGTGGGCATAATCTATATGTATTACTTTTCTATAAAAATGATATCAGGTTTTGCAATAAAAGTTGTAATAAAAAACACTAGAAAGGATATATGAAAATAACACAGTCAGCAGTGTTAACCAAAGAAAATATTTAAAACCTTATTAAGTCAGAAGGAACAAGCACAGCAACACAAATGCGATTAAAAGCCTCAGAGGGGAAAAAAAAGTATCTTAGCTAATTGTCCAAAAGCTAAAGAATTCTTCTGCCATCTGAGAAAGATACTCTATGAACAATGAATCACCACTGAAAAGGCTTTATTGCACACTGTATCTATCCATTTTTCAAAAGGCAGAAGTATTGGTAAGTGAATATGTAAAGAATTTCCTAATATCAGATAGGTTCACTTAGAACAGGGCGGTCAAACTCCCAGCCCATGGACTGGATGCGTCATGCTCTGGCCATGCCCATGCCCGGTTTAATGAAAGGAAAAAAATTCCTGATACATTCTGTGATGACGCCGTGACGCTGGGAGTTTGAAACCCCAGATTTAGAAGGTTCTCTCAGTGTTCTCAACCTCAATGAAGTGTCAATGAAGTGTCAATGAGTATTAGATTGTGGAATTACAGACATGTATTCATGTGCTCATCTGTCACCCACATACTGCATGTATGGGCACTTTATCTGTGCTTCCTCACTCACCTCATAGATTTTGTTTGCTTTTTTTTTTTCAATAGCATAATATTTCATGCTAACAAGCTAGTCTATGGCTATAAAAAAAGATTTGATTTGACTCAAAGCCAATGAATGAAGAAACAACTAAGCTGCAAAATGAAGCTGTCCTTCATAATGCAAGAGTAAATGTATCATAGCTGCAGCTGAGACCAGAGCTTAATTTTCAGTGTTTATGTTTTCAGTGGGAAGGCTCATCTCTGAATTTTGTGAAATGGAATTCCTCTACTGAATGTTGTAATTACAGTACAATGTCTTTCTTCCATCATAAACAATACCTTTTTTATATGAAGGAGTCGTACATCTTTTCCCATAATCTGCTCTGGGGAAAACTAAACAAAATTAAACAAATGTTAGTAAGCAATCTCTAGTATAGAAAGGGAAATACATAGATCGTGCCTTATACTGATATCATTCATTAGTCCATGTATCTCAGTATTGATATCAAGGATTTGTCCATCCCACTTGAACCAAAATTACTGAATCAAAGTCACCTTCTTATGAGGACATATTACAATTTGGTGGCATTTTTACCTCAGAAGATGAATAAAGGGGAATCTTACAGAATAGTATAAAAACATGGATGATGTGGGAAATGTGTTAAATATGAGGAGAAATGGTAAAAGGAAGTGAAGCAAAGGGAATAAGTTTTAATAACAATTGCTAGACAGCAATGCTGAAAAAGTATACATTTTGTATCCTATTTGATAACTTCCTGGGTACATTTAGATAGCCACTATGTCACCCAGCTGGATCAGCAGGTTTTTCCAGCTGGATTGGCAAGATTTTCATCTAACCAAGCATGGCTTTTCTTGGGTAGATACCACATATTGGATGTGGGATGTTCAGCATGCATTGCATGGGAGTTACCACTAAGCTATAGGCCCTTCCCCCTTTGTCACTTACAATTTACACTTCTTACCATGGTGTAGGGATCAAAGTCCTCCACATATTTTTGGAAGCCCTGAAAATAAGGTTGGCAATCAAATACATGCATAGTAGGTTCTAAATAAAAATAGTGATTAAATGAAAGAAGTAAGAAAGAAAAGAAAGAAAGAGATAAATTGTATGTTCTTTCTGACATTATATCATGCAAGCTTTTAAAGTTAGATCTATCTTTTAGAACACAAAAATTAGACAATTTAATCTGAAGGTTTCCTGAATTTGGCCTTCCCATTTAGATTGACCATTTATTTTAATCCATCCAATGTGAAGGTCATGGGCTAGATAAATGTTTATTAAGACCTTTGTACTCCTCTGGCATAATTAGAGTAGAACATATGGGAATTAAAAGCAGGATATTAGACTGCTGTCACAAGAAATGCAAAGTAGAAAGCATTTGTAAAGCATATTTATTTAACTCATCAACAATCTTCCGTAGCAAACAAACATTTTAAAATCTGTGAAACATAAAACATCCTGTTTCACAGCTCAGCTGCTTTGCTCCACTGAACTTCCTAGGCAAAGAATTAAACTATGTTATGACATAACTTGGCTGAAATCTTTGTGCTAAAATTTTAGGTCACTCCTATATTTAAAAGACTGCAATTACAGATACCATAAC